AACACACCCACAAGCACACTTAAAGCCCTTGGGAACACGGCCTCCTTCCACTAAAAATTCTTGTGTATATAATGATAATGTTAACGAGCTGATTAACAGTTTTCTGTAGAAATTTAGATCCAAAGTGATACCACACAAATGACGCTGTTCAAGCAGACCAGGTCTATGTAGAATCTGAAACAACAGGCCTACAATACGCTTAATACATACGCATTGAATGAAGGAAGCACACAACAATTTCCAATCGCAATTCTCAATGCACTGTTTTTAAGCGAGAAACAATGTTAGATACTAATTTTAGAACACAGAGTCGGACTGGGGTGAGAACGGAGAAGAGGAAAAAAAGGGAGGGGGAGGGGGAGGGGCGATGGGTTCCAGACTCACAGGCAAGTGCCGTTCGCTAGTCAGCCCTCGACTGTCACCTCCGTCAAGATTCCTGTTATATTATACAAAAACTGGCCAAACCACCAACTCGCCGGTCTGTGCATTTTGGGGTAGGTAAGGTTGTACATGTAGCAGGAAGTAGGCAGTGAACAGAACGCCAAACAGAACCGTGGGTGCCTCAAAATTTAATCAGGTATAAAGATTTGAGCCATCATGACAGTACAAGTGCATGTACGTGTTATCTGACACTGACAGTGACTAGAGACAGGTTTAATGGCAAATATTACGGATGAAATTACAAGATGTACTGTTCAAGACAGTCTTGCCCTCTGCAAGCAACAGAAGAGCCAAATTGGTAAGAAGGTTTAAAAGGTTAGATCTATCTTCATGCAGGCTCTCTCCACTCTGTGGGCAATTGCTCAGTTCGCCGTGCTGGGTGACGTCACCGCTAAGCGCGCAATACGCAGACACGCATAGTTGTGGCAGCAGTTAACCTAGTAACAACAACGTTGTGAGCCAGCGAGATAAACTTAGATTCAGGAAGGAGTTTCTGTGGTGCAACATCGGTGAGCCCTCTTTGTCTCTTTTGGGCATATTTTGTGACTGTATTTAGGCCACATATGCTACCCACCCATTTCACGTCATCTTATTCCTTATTCAGGCCACATATATGGCCTAAATAAGCTAAACCCCCCCTCCCTTACCTTATTTAGGCTACATATGGCCAATAAGCTACCCCCCTCCCAACCTGACTTTATTTTGGCCACATACATAGAAAAAATAACTCTTCACGTCTCTATCTTCCATCACAGCAGCACATGAAATGAAACAAGAATCAATTGAAGGTCATTTTCTGTATCTAAGAATCTGTACTTAAAAATCCGTGCCATTGGTATATGTCTGAATTACCCGTATTGAATTTATTAATACATGTGTATTTTCTTGAAAAATTGTATCTGATCAGACGCTACGCTAGGTGCCAAAGGCCCTTTATACACGTACATTTTTGTAACCTAACACTCGTCAGTCCTCATGTCGCTTCGGACTTTTCACGTGGTACATGTATTGTGAGTCCCCACAATATAAAAGCCTCATTGGTGCCCACCAGCCTTTCAGTCATCGAGCTGATATCTGGCGACACAAGACATTTTGCCGACAGGCCGAGGTGGCGCAGTTCCTTCAAAGTTTCTCCAGGCGACTATAAAATTTCATTCCAATGGGTTTTTTTTAATGTACTGGTCAAACCCTAGAAATAGTAGCGTTTTCATAATCAGCGCAAATCAGGAGCAAATCGACGACAAATGCAAGAAATAGGCAGAACTCGCAGAAGCGTGAATGAGAAAAACCCAATGCGCGTGTGTTGCCTCTTCTTTTAGCCACAAAATGTATTATCACGGAAAAAAGAAAGCCAATGTGGTTGCCTTTTTTAAAGATAAATGGAGATGACGAGTTTGCAAATTGCAAATTATATAATCGTCGGCCAGCTGATAATTTGTCACAAGCCAAAAATATAGTGTTTTTAAAGTTGCACTTTCTTAATATATGTATGTGGTATCGCTTGCATGTGCTCGGGAGATATTTTGTCGAAATTCAAGCTTCAAATGTTGAAAACAAAGCAAGACAACATAAAATTTCTTGCCCGCAGGCCGTAAAATTACAGGTGTTCGAAGATCCATGACAACCCGCATGGCCACATGATCCACTTAAAGGTTGATTGCCAAAACGATGTTGTCCTTAGATGCCAGCTGATGACGCCATTGAAGTCTTAAGACTGCTAAAGGGGATTCTGATGCTGAGCGAGACAGGGTGAATTTATGATGGATTTTAACACAACCCATGAGTGCTCAGTTAGCCACAGAAAACATAGACTATCAATAACATATTAACGACAGTTGTGCTACTGATTTGTCTGCAAGCAAACCACGCTTTGGACGTAATAATGTTTTACCACAATGCGTGCGTGGCCTATGGTGCAGTAAGAAATCCGTGGCCCAACTTACATTCACATATCTCTTAAACGGGTAAATCACCATCTCAGTATCAATTTATCTTCACTTAATTATATTTTTTCCCAACAATTGAGGCTACATTATTAAAAAAAAACTTTTCTTCCTAAATTTATATAAAATAGGCTACTATAACGCGGAAAATGGGATTGTTCACAGCACTTTCCGTTTCTTGCATACATTTTGTCTATATATATACACGCATATGGCCTACGTCATAGCTCACTAATGACACTTTTTAGTGGCAAAACTTGTTACAATAAATTAATTTGATTGTGAACACATTTTTTGCACTAAAGGTTCTCAAAACATGCGTTCAATAGGCGATTAGAAAACAAAGACAAAGCGATATTGTCCGAGCTGTAAACTTTTTTAAAAGCTGTAGAAACCATCGACTAGGAATATATTAGTATTTAATAAGGAGTTTTCTAGAATACAGTGTGCAGGTGTTGTTGTTGTTGGTTTTTTTATAGTAGAGGGTTTTTTGGCGCTCGCAACTGCTTAAGGTCATATGAGCGCCAAAATATTCATCAGTTAAGACAAATTGGTATAAGCCATTGTGCAAACACTGGAGAATCCATGTTCAATGCATGCAGTTAAGGAGATATTTGACAATATTATATTTGACAACTTGGAAACACATGTGTCACTTTTCCGATAAAACTACGACAGATAATATCAATGGATAATTGTTCTATCCAATCATCAAATCATCATGAAATATACAGACATCTTGAATTTTCA